TTTAACTGCGAGAATTGTAAAGGAGCATATCCAGGGTATAAAGATGTAATATGGTGGGTTTTCATTTTAGGTAAATTAAACTAGATATAAGGTTGGGGCATGGATCTGGAACTACTTTTATTAAGAAGGTTATTAGACGATCTTGAGAATATTGTACACTATGAAAATAATATTATGATAGCAGCTATATTATATACTAAAATATGTACATGAATTGTTTGAATGTTTGAAAGATGTCTGGAATTGGGGGGGCAACTGGGAAGACACTGAGATGTAAAAAACAAATAATTGTAAGCAAATCATGTAACACAATGTTTGACAAGCACAAATCAAATGTAGATAGAGTGAAAAACTAATAAAATGTTTTTTTTAAATAGTTCTATCCTGTTTCCTTGAAAATAAGACAGGGTCTTACATTAATTTTTGCTCCAAAAATGCATTAGGGCTTATTTTCAGAGGATGTCTTATTTTTTTCCCCATGTACAGCAATCTACATTTATTCAATTACAGTCATGTCATCTTCTTCTGCTTGCTGCAGAATAGTACAGGGTGGAGTTTCACTTAACTGGGGCTTATTTTTGGGGTAGGACTTATATTATGAGCGTCCTTAAAATCATACTAGGGCTTATTTTCAGGTTAGGTCTTATTTAAGGGGAAACAGGTAATCTCTCTTTCTCTCCCTGGCCAGGTGGATGTGACTATTAAATGACAGCTGGGGTAACACAACGCCTGTTGATGACATTGACTTCTTACTTTAAGGGAGAAAATAATAAAATGAACAGTATTGAGAGTTTATTTCAGGTTACAATGCCTGTAAAAATAATGTTCTATCTACTGCTGCATAAATTACTTCCCATGAATATGTACTTCAATCAGAACCTGATTTCTAAATCCAATCAAGTTTATACATTTTGGGAGACATTTAGAACAAGAAAACACAGAAAGAAGTGAGTGGGATGTACACATGACTCAGAATGGTAGTCTAGATCTCTGTTTTCAAGTGTCAGTGAGCAAATCCTCTTGCGTAAGTTTGTGCCTCGCGTACCTACTATTGGGTGCCAGAAATCTTTTACTTACACTAATTAAAAGCTTGCTATGCCCTTGATTCAGGTTCCAAGCCTCCTTTAGGCTCCTTTTTGCCCCAGGGAAGACTTTGGATAAGGGGGAGCCTTTGAAAGTAAAAAAACAAAACAGTGCCACATCACTGCTGCCAGGATGCAATGCTCTGTGCACTGGTGTAGATGCATTTAAAACCATGTGTCATTTCCTCCAGCTACATTACTGTTTTGTATACCTGTGAGAAGCTCCAGATGTTGGAGCATGGAATGCTGGTGGAGTATATTTGGGTAAAAATCAAAGCAGAGAGAAATAACTATGGCAGTTCATTAGAGACGTCCAAGCCACAAGGAACATTTGGATTGAGGCCTCTTCGATGTGATTACCAAACATTCAGAGAGAGATACGGTACCAATGGGAGACTTCATCCTTTACATCTAATTCAAACTTCAACTCTTATTATCAGCCATCTTGGTCACTTTTATTAATTTTTATTAACACTAAAAAAAGGTAGTAAAAATAGTTTTTGGCAAAAAGTAACATGAGAAAAGATAGAAAGGGACACAGATCTGTTTATGGGGAGACTATATTGTTAAAGCCTGAAATTTTGTTAGATCTATTTAACAAGAATGGAGAAAATGAATGGGGTTGCCTGGAACTGCATTACTAAATTACTCTTCCTTGTTCTAGACAATGTTCTATACAAGTGCCTGGGACCTGCTTTGTACAAGCTGCATAAGAAACAGCAGAAACTGAATATCCATCAACAGTATACTCAGACAAATTGAGTTAATTACTTCCATGTTAAATTTATGGCCAATGCCAAAATTTGTGAACCAGCAACTTAAATTTAGTTCAAAGTCTTCAGTGCAGGCCTAGTGTTTCTATTAACAAAGTTATTTGTGTACAATTTAACAATGAGCTACAATAATTAGTTAACGTTCCTTGTGCAATGAGTACCATGCAGTTCAATCCTAATTAGAAAATCAAACATGTAATACAAGCTAACAAAGAACAAAGACTACTCTATATTCCCTACAAGTGTTTATTTTTAAAAATAATCATCAGTCCTTAACATGGCTTAGATAACAATAATAAAAAGGTATAGATTGAGCATTTAAGATATAATGACCATTATCTTGTTTGTACTAGCATGATTTACACCAGTGTAAATGCACCAGGCTTGCAGTATAAATGGTGGTTGCATGTCCCAGAGTGGCCAACTGCACAGTGTACTAACAGAAGTGCTTTGGGCACTGCACTACGACCTCAGCCACTGTGCAACTACTGCAGGTGCAATGTCAAGTTTTGAAAATATAGTTGCACAAGAGGATTTGGGCCTAAGCAGTATGACCTGTTACCAAGAACTATCTACTGTCTTGATATTCTTCACTATCAGGTCTTGATGACCAGATTAGCAACATTTTTAGGAAGTATAGAAAGGTTTCACAGAACAGTAGTTCCAAGTTTTGTTTTTAAAACTTCGGAGAGTTATAACTGAAACATGTCTCAAGGACAGCTAGATTTTCCATCTTATGAGATAACCAATTCTCTTTGTTCATTCACTTCTGCCTTTGTCAAGACACTGCCCAAAATATCTATGGCTTTGTAAACCCACATAATTGATGCAAGCCTGTGTGTTTGTTTTTCAACATGCAACTTTTCTAGAGTTCTAATATGGAGAGGTGGTGTAGTGACAGAAGGATAGTTTAGGGCTCAGGAGACCTGGGTAAAATAGCTGCTTGGACATGGAAATTCATGGAGAATGGGCAGCAATGGTAAAGCCACTCCTTAAATATCTCACATAACATAAAAACCCCATTTGGGCTGCCATAAATTGAATGCTACTTGATGACACGTAAGAAAATTGTTCACAAAGTCATCCTTTGCTGACAAAACAAACAAAGTCACCTTCCCTCCAAACACCCCTACAGTACCCATTCACCTTAACTAATAATACAAGTTTATGATTTATAATTTTCAATGCTTTTAATAATTGGATTTATTAGTGTATAGTGGATCCAGGGCCTCTTAATCTGAAACATCAGGACTCAACGATTAGTAGGGATGATGACAACATGTATCACCCTACTCTAGGTGAAAGAAGAAATGACTTCCCAATCAATAATATGTTGTTGGAAAACAAAGTGGGTTGGGCCTGAATGAGGCTGCCCTCTGAGTATAGATAGGTCCAAAATTCATTCTATCTAGGTGAAAGAAGAAATGACTTCCGAATCAATAATATGTTATTGGAAAACAAAGTGGGTTGGGCCTGAATGGGCAACTATGATTCAACAAAGAAAATTCTATTGTGCAACTTAAACTGGATTGGGGTGGTGAAAATAATTAATCTAAATTAATTTAAGCTTCCTATGCCCCTACTTTAGCTTCCAAGGCTTCCTAAGGCTTTCTTTTGCCTGGAGGAAGCTTTCGAGAGTTTTTGAACTGGGGGGGTTAAGTAAAAACATGCCCCCAAGTTCGAAAGCGCCCAAAAGCTTCCCTAGGGCAATGGGGATCCCTAGGAAGCCTCAGAAGCTGACATGGGGTATAGGAAACTTTAAATTAAAACAATTATTTCCAGTGCCCCAAATTAGTCTATGCTGCACAAAGTTATCCAGTAGGGTTTTGGCCACTATCTTACCAAAAACCTGACTTTTTTTGGTGGACTTCATACCGTGTACCCCTCTTTTTCTTTCTCATATAGTCTCAGGTCTCCCTAGTAAAAGTCCAACATTCTGATACTGCTGTTTGCCAGCTCACTATTCTGTGACTGTCAGCTATTAAACCATACACTGGGCATTAAACCATACACCACTCTTATACATATGTATGAAGACAGCTGTCCCCATTTTTGGATTATCATTTGGGTGGGAACAAGTCAAGAGAAATGCTTACACTTCTAATTTGACACTATGCCATTGGAAGTTGTCTCTCAACCAAGACAAGACACACAGTTATAATTCTGCCCAACTCCCCAAATAAGCTATGGGGAGAGAAAGGAAATTCCAGGGAATATAAGAAAACTGACAACATAAAGCTGATCATATTGACTCAGAAGCACTCCCCACACTGAGTTTGGTGAGACTTTAATTCTTAATAAGTGTGCACGGGACTGTAGCCTGAGTTATCTATTTTCTTCCACTCAGCAGCATAGAATCCAAGCTCAACAAGCAAATGTGGAACATGTCTCACTCTGTTCCATGCCACAGTGCACGCTGGTCCATCTACTGCAAGACTATCATGTTGCTATCACTAAATTATTATATAAAACTAGAATTTAAATGGCATAAATGGATACGTAAATGACCTCCAAAGTTATAACTAGTATAAAGCAAGATCACATATATTATGAAGAGAATGTGACTAGGAAAACTCATAAATGAGGCAAGATGACAGCATTACGTTGCAATACACCAGTCTTGCAAACAGTTATTAGCAACTTGTAATTACTACACTATTGTAAGTGTATCTTTATATGTATTTCACTATGCTGAAAAAAGACATTTCACTTCGTTTACTTCTTCTGTTAAGCAGGCAACATACATTTTAACATGAATATGAATTCCCCAAAACATGTCCTTTATTACATCCTATATTAAACACTTGATTTATTCCTGTAGAACTTCAAGTCTCACCAAAGTTTAAATTAAAAAGTACGTGACTTAAGTAAAAGAAAGAGACAGAGGCTTCCAAATAAATTCAAGGTATAAAATTTATAGGATAACAATAATGAAAAAGTGGTCTATTTTGTATACAACATTCCTCAAGTCCTGTTTCCATGAGAAATGAGAACGTTATCACATCTTAACTAGAATAAATGTGGTACAGTATGTAAGATATGTGAGCATATGCAAAAATACTAATTGCCCCTCTCATATAGTTCTCAAGGACCTTCACTAAAAATATAAAACAAAATCCTTGCTATTACACTTTCCAATATCATAATTTTCATTTTTAAATGAGAATGTCATAACCAGCAGACATCCAGGGATCACATGTCAGGTACGATAGACAATAAACCTATTGCATGATTGTTACACATGAACTCAGCACAGGATGGAAATTATAGCTGTATGTGACTCACAAAATACATTTCAGCACTCTCAAGTCTCCCAGAGTTTGAAACCTGAGTAACACTAATCATTTACAATTAATAATCCTAATGAGACCTATAACGAGCTATGTACATAGCATGACACTGTTGGTGACCGTCAGTGTTTACCTATTGGTGAGATAATATTAACAGTTTGAAAGTATAGACACGTAATACAATCCTCTTCTAACTGTGACAAAGCTGTTTATTTACCAAACACGGATTGGAGACCACTGCCCTTAAAGCCACTTATTTTCAAACAGGGACTTCGCTTTTCCCAAGACATCTAGTATAAAAACTAAATTACACAAGCCTGTCTTTTTACCAACGGTGCGTTCCCCCAAATATGTTACTGAAGACCCACAGGAGTATCCTAAAAAAGTGCGTCTAGTAGAGACAGAAGTCTTGGAAGTGCAACCGAGAACTGTTGGCCAGGTCTGGGGGCAGCCAAAGTGCCGGAGTCGGACGGTCCTGAGATGACAAAAGCGCCCACGGCCCTCGGACTGATCTCCCCCAGGGTTGGGGTTCAGTTTCCAAAGCAACATTGCACGCAAACCCCTGGAAGACCGTCCCCCGATCCCCCACCCGGACCCCCCCCCCAAGGAAGAAAAGGAAAAAGCCACTACGGCTAGTAATCACCCTCTCAGACACCTTCGCACCCCTTACACACAGGTTGAGAGTTCCTGCCCCACAGACACACCCCTACCTCCGTCCCAGGAGCCACACCGCTTGACAAGACCCCCTTCCTTTCCCTTTCCTCCCCCCCCCTCCCAGCGCTTCACCTCTTTCACGGGAGGGAATTTCTTGCGGCACTCCAGGCTGAGGGCCCGCAGGTCGCCTTGCATGTTTTCCAGCAGTTTCTTCACGGCCTCAGGACTGCTCGTCCCGGCCATGGCTCCGCCGTGTTGTGAAGACAACCACCGTCAAGGCAGCGACAGGAGGCCGACCAGGGCCTGGCCGGTCGAGCCAGGATCGCCGTCTTCTA